TTTTTTTTTTTGCACAAAGGACTTTTTCCTCAAGGCTGAAATTTCTGAGGCGGTGGTTAAAGGTTTAAAATCTGGATCTTCATTTTTAACACCCAGCATATATTCAGTTTCTGGTAACTGAAAACAGAAACATTCCAGGGTCCAAGTGAAAAGCTTCAGTGAAACCAAACATTTTTTACTAAATGGCTGATTTTTTTTATTTGGTTTTCACTTGATGGTAACAAACAGACTGATAAAACCCCAGACCAAGCCAACAAAACAAACACATTGTCAGCTGTGCAGTTGCCAAAGCTCAGCTATTTTCACTTTCAGATTTACACTGAATAAACACTTCTGATAACGTTCCCATTTTCTGTAATGAAAACCTGAAAAACAGTCAGGCAGGAAACCGCCTTTTTATCAGGCAATTTTTTAGTTTGCTTGAGTACAGTTTTGAATTTCCGTCACTTTAAACCCTAAAACTTTTGCAAAAAAATGGCAGTTTGTTTGCCAAACATAGAAGAAACTTCTCTTTTTATGAAACACCCCAGAGTTTTGTCAAAATTTTTGGTTGTTCTAGCTTAGGCCATCTTTGTCTATCAGGTGGAGAGTCAAAGCTCCCCCAGGATGTGCCAGCTGAACCCCCAGGTGGACAGCTCAGGCGAGACACATACCTCCATGTCCATTATCCTCTGCTGTGCCATGTGAATGTGGCTGTATACTTTGGCAAATGGGGCACAGAGTCCAGTGTCTAGATATGCTGTGAGCCACTGGGTCCTGCTCCCCATTGTCCCCCTTGCTGCCTCCTCAGAAATAGGATATGAAGGATGGGTACATCATTCTCTGCTCACCTGAGGCACGTGGAGACTTCTGGTGGGTGGATTACATGACTTCTAGGCTTAGCCCAACCCATTCACCCATAGTGATTAGTGTTAATCATGGAGTCCCCACTCCCTAGCTTAGGAGCACTTATTTCCAGCACTCAAACGGTTAATATCACTCCATATCCCTCTCCAGAAGGAGAGGACACCCGCCCCCCACCCCCAACCTCTGCACTTGGAGGAATGGTGTGTAAGGTGTTAAATCTGCCACTCTAGCACACAAGGCAGTTAGCAACATCCTCAAGTTTCCCTGGGATTGAAAACTTAAAATTCGTGCCCCCCAAGGAAGGAGATGGGTCTCCAGGATTAGAAGGAAGGGGGTGCCCAGGGCGTGGACTCACAGCTGTGAAGTTGTCTGCCAAGGCGACAGCCAGCCACACTAGGATCAGCCAGTTCCTCATGGTGGGGGATCCTGCTGAAGCAACACTGAGGAGTCAGTCCCCACGACAGCACACTCCCAACACCTCCCCAGCACCACACCTGGGCCAGACTGGGGGGTGGGGAGGGCAAACTCTCCCAGAGTCCTATGCCTCTCCACCCACCCCTATGACCACTGCCTGGTCATCCCCAGTATCTGTCTGTCCACTCACCCCTTGTGTCTGTCCACCCCCACTTCTCCCTGGCAACATTCATCCACTCCTCTACTCCTTCTGGTCTGTTTGCTCATTCCCCCTCCCCCATGTCCATCTGTCTGATCAGCTCTTGTGCCCACCTGCCCACCAATCTCCTGCATGGCCCGACCTGTCCATGCTCTGTGCCTGTCTGCCCATCTGCATCTGCCCACCTGTCCAGTCTTTCTGTGCCCATCTGCCCTCTTTGTCTGGATCTGCTTGTTCCTTTCTCTCTGTGCCTGTTGTTATGTCTGCCCCTGTTGCCTTTTACCCACCGTGCTTGTCTCTGAGCCAGTCTGCCTCTGCCCCTCTCTCTCTGTCTGCGTATCTGTCTCCCCCTCTCTCTGCCTGATTCTAGCTCTGCCCGCCTCCTGCCCCCCCCCCAGTTCTTTCGC